TCTGATTTAGTCAACTTGGTCAGGTCAAAGACCCCCTATCTCTTAGGTCAGCCATCTTGATCTTGACCCCCAGGCAGTCAGCCCTAAATGGTCTTCTTTCCAGTAATCTGATGTTATTTATTAGACCATTTTCCGTTCACTGCGAGAATCACGCGTAATGCGTGAAATCGAACGTAAAAACAGGACAAACAAAGGTCATAGCATCGTAGTCGCGTCAAACATCGCGTGGGATTCTACAAACGCGAAAGTATTTCGGGGGCATTTCCATGCTTAATAATGTGCTGTCCACATTTGATGATAGGCAATTTCGATTAAGTAAGGGTATTCGAAAGCAATATTCCTCTGTCGAAGATCGGCCGATCAATGTAAGCTACGAAATAAAGAAATTCTAGTTCAAAATCAAATCGTTTGATTTTTGCGGCAGACGTTCGACACGGGTCTTTCATGCATCTCGAGAGATCTCGCAATTTTACGAAAAATCACCTATTCTGTAATTGCTTGTTTTGTTTTTTATTTGTACTTTTGTTCTGCATTAAAAAAATTTTAGCTTTTCACATGTAACTCGTGTAGCATAGCAATGTGTATTTACAAATTTGTAATGAGATGTTTAAAATATGGTGTAGTCATATCTTTTAAAAACGTGCACCTCTCAAACTGATGTGCAATGACTCAAAACAAATCTATTTACTTTTTGGCCTCATCATCTAGCAAAAAAAATCACAAACTTACCCCACTGTGATATCAAATATATTGCTTCCAACTGAACTGGAAACTGCCATATCACCGAGTCCCTTCCTGGCAACAATGACACTGGTGATTAGATCTGGAATGCTGGTACCCGCTGCTATAAACGTCAAGCCCATCACCTACGGGACAGAGAAGATAGTGTGAAAAATAAAATAAAAACATGCATTTTACTTTTTACATTTACCTGTTAATTGGGTCATTGATAAAAGTGTGTTATTTGCCAATAAAAGACATAAAGTATCCACCGCCGGGAAAACAAAATTTGTACATCGCATATAAAATTTGATTATACAATAGTACGGGCAATTAAAACTGCAAAAGTTAATGGAATACTGGTGATGAAACCATGGATACCATGATTGGTGACTTGAATAATTTCTGCAACAATGAAGACAGGTAGTATCAAGAGAACATCTATTGCCATAGCAACCATTGTGCATGAATTGAATCCTGTGAAATTATCAGGTGATTTGTTTGGGACATTGGTGTCATGTCAACATTTTATGGAAATAATTCTATGATAATGATATTAATGGTTTTTGTCAAAAATTCTACAGTTATATATTTGATTAATTGGATATATTTATCATAAGATCTACTGGTATATCATGATACATGTAGTTACAGAGTATTGAATGACTTGTGGTAAGACGATTTGAAATAATACATTTCAGATTTAATTTCTCGATATACCGGGGTATCACAACAATTTCACAATTTACAATATCAAATTACAATGTGTCTCAGAAATACCATATTTACTCTATTATAAGCACATTTGCACACAAAAGGTAGTTTTCTTTACAATTTGCATAAAACAATCACAGCCAGATTGGCATACTATACATCACGTCAAAACAAACATGGCTGTTATGCTAGTATGCTTCTATTGAAGATGCGCTTCTAATATAAAGAATATGGTACAAGTTACAATTTTATTTTAACAATTTATTTAGAAAATAATGTACATAATGAACAAATACTGGAAAACTGCAAAAGGTGAAATAATCTAGATTTTAATACCCCTATTCCTATTCTATATTTGTGTTTACTTTCAATGTTGATGAGTTTTGTGAGTTGCAGAAAATTTAATTGAATTGTGTAGCAGCGAACATTTCATTTTAGAATCGTTAAGACAGTGAGTCACGATGACTTTCGTTGTAATAAAACCATTCCAACAATGTATGCCTTTACGAGGCCATTGGCCACGAGTATGTACGACATTAATTAATATCCCGTGAGATGTAAGAAATCTAAAGCCAATATCCAACAACACCACGTCAAGTCGAGTTACGATGTTTCTACTTTGAAGTGCTCTAATTGACAGGTCAGTGAAAATTCGGTCGAGGAGCTCAGACAGTACGTCGCCCGACTATTTCATCAAATCATTTCATACTAGTAAGATGCAAGTAGTTCTTAACCTTTTTGAGTGCCATGATTTTTGTTGACAAAACCTTGGTGCAACATTTTGCCAGCTTTTATATATTTTTTCAAAATGTTTTTGATAATTTTTAACCAAAAGCACATAATTTCCGATTGGCTATAAATCTTGATCAAAATTTGGGAAAAAATACCAAAAAATTATATAAAATTATATTAATAAATTACCAAAAAATTATATGGGTTTAAAATGTGTGAATGGCGTAAAAAGCTGACTTTGGCGCTCAAAAACTTAAGGACTTATTCCCAGTAATCTTGCAAGGACCATCATATCACATTAAAAAATATTTAAAATCGCCAGCACCAAAGATTATTATTACTACAACAGAAACTGGAAAACACACAACAAGTCCATCTTGTGTATTCAAATGTATCGCATTATATCAGAAGTATATATTAGAGACAGAAATATTATTACTGCTTTTTTTTTAGTGAATCAATGTTGTAGGAATATAAATCATTATTTTATTGTTTCAAAATTCACTGTTTCATTTTTAAGAATATTGTGTATCAGTGAAATTTTATAGAAGTGAAAATGGGTCAAACATACACATTGTCAGAGACTTTTGCAAAAAATAAAAAAAAAAATGTCTTCACGGGCACCAACAAATCATCAAATCATGAAAGATTTCTAACTGTGAAAATTAAGTGATTTACAGTATGTGGAAGAGACAGCATAATTTATTGTTGAAGTTGAATATTCATTAGGCTTGTTTTTTTTCATTGGTGCATTTTTAACTCAATCAGCAAAATAAGGGAAACTAGAATTGCGCAAATATTTCAGCTACGGTATAAAGATAAAAGACTGTATCTTCCATGGCACTATGGGTTATAAATTATAAATATCCACATGGAAGATTGTTGCTAGGAAAGTGTTCCAGAGATAAAACAAAAATGGTCAACTGGCGGCCATTTTGGACATGAAATTCTTCTGATATTCAAACGTGTCCATAGGCTGTTCTCTGAAACGATTATGTAGCAATTGACTATAAAAGCCAAGTGTCTCCATATATCTAGACACCCACAAGGATAAAGAACAACTCAAGGCTATCAAATCAAATCTAATCTAATCAATATAGGTTACAACAAGAGTCTCATGGGAATGCACATTTAATCCCTTGTATGCAATATTCTTCAGTCTAGCCAAAGTGAATTTTTTTTAAATTTATTGCTGATACAGATAATTTTAATATCATCATACCGATTGAGAGATGATACTAAACATAATATAAAAATTATAAAATTTGTTAGGTATTAAAATATTATTTTAAACGCTATGAATGATGATGATGCTAACTGTACTGCAATCATCATCTATTCCCAAGCCACTTTATCTGACATTTCAAGCAGAACAGAATGAAACAATATCATCTATCACACAGATATGAACCAATCAGTGTTTCTCTTTCATTTTGCAAAAATCAGTTTGATGAATCAAATGACTTGTTGGCCGTTTTTTCCTGCGATGTTAACTCGTAGAAGTTTTATTCACATTACAGTCCTTACAAATTTTCACCATATTTTGTCAGATTTATGACACAAACACAAGAGCATGTACATGAACCAATAATTTATTTGGCAAATAGGGGGGCACACCACAAGACCATCGTACACAAAAGTGAGACAATGCATAACAGACTGATAAGATGGTCCCTGGTGCCGCCCCCAAAATGTAGAACAAAGCAGGTGTAAACTAGCTGGCTTACAGTTTCTAAACTAAAATACAAACTAGAATAAGACTGAAAACATGTTGGTTGGTGCAGCATAGCTGCATGATGTTAGTATGGAATGGCAGATTGCAGCATGACTGCAACTGTAAAGTATAGGCAGCGAGTGCTGCGGCTACACCATGGTTATGCAGCGGGGGCTGCATGAAGTTAAGAGGTTATGGGTAGAGGCAGCGGGGGCTGCAACTACTGAGTTTAGACATTGACGCAGCGAGGGCTGCCTGTGAAGTCGTTGGGTATACTCATCATAATAACTTACCACATCTGGTATACCGATTGTCTCGCCGATTTGTTCAGCAAACCACAACATGAAATACGCATATATACCTATCCACAATATGCTACCTAAAAAGGTGATTGCAAACCATTTCCTTTTTTCCTGCAAAAACATAAAAAAACAAAAGGAATATTATGCAACTTATCTATTTATTACGTAGATTATCGAGGCGTGTCTTTGGTGAAAATAAGTCATATTTTAATGATGCAGTAAACAATACAACTGCTGTTTACATGTGTTTTTATTGAAGATGCACGTCTACCAAACAAGCTAATATGGTGATTGTTTAATCTGAGACCATTTAACTAGTTTATTGAACTTTTGAAGAATTTTAACTTTTATCATCACATTATATATTATTTAACAAAATAATGAAAGTTTCCCCTAGGATTCTGTTGCTACGGCAACCCTTGCGTTTATAGTGCATGTGGGAGCCACTGATCCGAAGAATTACTCCATTTTATTTTTATTCCATGTTACCATATATGGTAATGTAATGCCCAAATAAGGACTTAATATACTTACTGGTCGCCTTACGTCTGGTAACATCAACCACAATGGGATTACAATTGGTGCTAGAACCAAGTATGTGATCCGCTTCTTATTTGTCTTTGGCCAGCTCAGATCAAGTGGTTCTTCTTCCTCATCTTCCTCATCGCCTTTCTAAAATATTACATTTGAGATTTGGCTGTCAAATGACTAATCCGAACAATGTATTGTGATAAACTCAGTTGACATGTTTAAAGCTTTGTCGACAAACTTTTGAATGCCAAAGTTATTCACAAAATAAAGACATATATTTTTTCTATATTTACGCAAAAATTTTGCCCAAGACCTGTAAAAAATGGTGAATTACATGTATGTCCATTTGACCCAAACATAACAAAAAAGTAATAGAAAAATACTTCAAAAGATAGGAAATGTTGCATCACAATTTTAGACGGAAAAATATATGGCATTCAAAAGGTGGATTCAAATCTTGTGTTAACAAGCAACGTGGTTGTACACGTCTCAAAGCAGGTGTATGATGTAATGCCTTGACCTTTTTCCCTGCTGAAACATTGCTACCGGTACGTGTACATCATTTTGCAAACTTTATGTACTCTCTGTAATTTTCCCGGATAATTTTCGTCTAAACGGGTACATTTCCAATGGTTATGGGTTCTGATAACAAAAGAATGAAGGATTGAAAAAAATGGTGTAGTTTTATTTCGGCAAAGCTGACAAAAGTTGACTTTGTATACGGTTAAATATTTTATTTTCACTTGGAATTAATTTTCGCTATTTTTGCTGAAGGAATGATTCAGTGAAAATAAAATCCAGCGAATAGACTTTTTTTTAATATATTTTACTTTCCACTCTTCAAAAATCAGTGAAAATAAATTCAATACAAACACCCGAAAAGTCTATTCAGCGAAAATAAATTCCAGCTAAAATAAAATAGTTAACAGAATATCAATTCAAGTAAAATACCTGTGAGATAGCATCTATCGTGCCGGTTCTGCTGAATTCAGTGGCAGCACCCTCACCAGCTTGAACTTGATCACTTTGTGTACTTGCATGTAAGTTTGTAACAGGAGAGGTATCCCTGGGAGCATCTAGCGGTGTTTCCAATGTGGTGATTTGCGTTGTATTTGATGACGCATCCTGTGACTGTCGATGTTGCTTGATTTCGCTGGCTTCGGGGCTGGTCACAGTCTCGTTTGAATAACTTTGGCACGGTGGAGTACATTGCTCAGGTAACTGTTCAGCATTAATTATTGAAACTGTAGATGCATAGTTGTTACGGTTACCGCTACCCAGGGCAACACCATTGCCATTTTGGGGTAATTGAGACCCAGGAACATTCTCCTTAACTGTTTCATCACCTTTTTCTTCATCGTCACTTTTTGTTGCTAATTCCTGCAATTTGACTGCTTTTTCCTGAAGTTCTCCTGAGAAGTAGACAAAAACAAATTAATTGGCTGAAATTTATAACTTAAATAATTCATTTAAAACTGCACATTAACTTTGGCACTTTACGCTTCCATTCTACACATTCAATAAAAATCAAAGAAAGCTTAGAAAGAACTCTTGTGTGTTGAGAGTATTGGAGGTATGAAGTACAAATAAGGAATACTGTATTTACTTTATTAGAAGCACATCTTCAATACGCATAAAGCAAAACTTGTGTTTATTGCATGCAAAATCATTGAAATATGTCTAAATTTGACTATATCTATATACCAAGTTTCATTGAAATCTGTTTAATGGTACATAAGAAACAAGTGAAATTGCCCAATTTATATGCAAATTAGGTCATTAATATACAAGAATTTCACCCAAAAACTAATCTGAGCATTATTCCACGGCATCTATGTACCAAGTTTCATTAAAATCATGGGAGTCAAAACTGTTCACAAGTGTCCTAAACATTTTCCTCTAGAACAATTCATTTTTAACCGGTGTTACAGACGCTATAACACAAGAGATGTCTTGTCTGTGTAACCAAAAATCAAGAAAGTTTCGAGAACATTTCGCAACTTTTTGTGATAATGAGCAAACCTCAGTATTTTATGAACCTCCACCGTCATTGTGCCGCGCTGTGGTTGATAAGCAAACAATATTTTGTTTTTCGGCGCTTTTAAATTCTAAGATGTTAACAATATAATAGGCGCGTTACAAAAACACCTACCGTACGCAGAGAACGTTGGTAATGAATATAGTGCTGCATTGATGGTTGATTACTATTAATTATCGGTATAATTATATATTAATTAGTACTCAAAAGGCCCATCAAGTAACCAAGGTGCGAACAAATTCAAGTTATCATGCAAACTCTGATCCCATTATGTGGCTGTTTGTGTTAGGTTTAATCTGTGGTGTGATGTAGTCATTGACTTTTACCAGATTTCATCATCAGCTGATTATCACATTTTATTTAATTTGTTTTTGCAACTATACTGACGTCAAATAAGATTAAATACGTACATATAAAGAAACACGTCATAAGTTACAAGTCGAATAAATTACCCTGTAATACCCACAACAGATGTAATTGGATATTCCTTTTTTATAATTCTTTTTGTGCCACACAACACTTATATTTCACTGCTATTTCTTCTAATATTTTTTTTTGTTTTGGTGCTAACTGGATATTTTACTATGCGCACTTCTCAGAAATAAAATCTTTTATGTTTTTCTCCTGTGACGCAAGCTTCCACAGATAGTGGATATGAACGGTACATAAACCAAAGACACAAGAAAAGAAAATGGTTTAAGACAATTAATTATTTTTGTGTAAACGAAAAAAAATTGATATTGTAGTTTAATTTTAATAATTACAATTATCATAAATGCAATTTCTGAGGAGGAAAATGTCCTATATGCATGATGGGTAATGTTATTGTTAATTTTATTGATCAATCAAATCATCAGAACCATATAATTTTGACAGGTTTTATTGATACCACGGTTACACTGTAACAACAGGCTGCACTTCCCTCACAGCTTACAAAAAGATGACGTAAGGTGCATAATGCTAGTCTGCATATGCGTCATTGCGTGCCTGAACATTCAGTTGTGATTACCACAAAACATCAAACACTATATGGGATATTTCATTTCATATTAGTTGAAACTTTGAACACAAACTCGAACACATACTATAAAACTATCTATTTTCACTGACATTACACTACTTTGATCTTTTTAGCATACCCCGGTAATCACTGGGTTTTATAAAGTTCATAAATTTGCAAGTGATTGTGGATTTGTTCATTTAAATTTAATTTTAATAACCTACAAATAATGCATACTGTGGAATACTTTATTTTCGCTGGAATTAATTTTCGCTGAAAAGGCTTTTTGGGTGTTTTGTATGGAATTTATTTTCACTGATTTTTGATGAGTTTAATGTGAAATGTATGAAAACAAGCCATGCATGGCACAGTCCCCGTTAGTTATCAAATTTAAGATATATAGTTATGTTTATAGTAATATAGCTGGAATATAACCATGTCAGGAATATGGTTTTTTAACATTAAAATGAGTGACATTTGTTTCTGATCGTCAAACAAGTACTTGTCCATATTGAGAGATATTGCTCTGGAACAGCATTCAAAATCAGCCATTTTGAATACATACATATATATATATATATATATATATATATATATATATATATATATATATATATATATATATATATATATAATATGATGTATAACAAATATATAAAATTTGAATATAATCAGTTAAAGCATTTGAGAGATATGGCTCTAGAAGCCCAATCATTAAAACAAAATGGCCGCCAGTCAGCTATTTTGAATAAAATCTGAAAAATAAAATGACATGCATCAGGAACCTGTAATGTCTAACGTGTGTTATAAGTTTGAACAAAATCCATCCATAAATGCAAGAAATGTTTGATATTCGAGGATTTTTTCAGCACAAAAATGACCTCCATTCGGCTATTTTGAATAGGATCTTCAAACCAATATATCTGTCTATCTATGACATGATAAATAATGAATATTTAAAATTTGAACATAATCAGTCAAAACAAGTCGGAGATATGGGTCTAGAACCACATTCATTAAAACAAAATGGCCGCCAGTCGGCCATTTTGAATCTTATCGGAAAAACAAAATGATGTGCATCAAGGTCCTATAATGTGTAACATATATACCAATTTTGAACAAAATCCATCTGTAAACAGCCGAAAAATGCTTGATTTTGATGATTTTTAGCACAAAAATGGCCGCCATTCGGCCATCTTGAATCAGATCGTGAAACAAATTGATGTGCATATGTATAATATCATGTATGATGTATGTGTGCAGTTTGATTGTGATTAGTCCAGGCATTTCTAAGACACAGACTGCGCCCGAACGGGCACTAACAAAGTAGAACATAAAAAAATTATGTATGAAAGGAGACAAATCTGAAATGATGAAAAGGTGGAAGGAAAACTTTGGCGATGCTCATTGCGTGAAAGCAGAAACCGAGTGGGGCACTTTGAAAACTATTAAGACTGAGGGATGTGGGAGAGACACTGAGACATCAAAATGCTTAAATAGGTAAATACATGATAGTTGAAGGGATATATAAAATTAAATGCCAGAGGTCGAAGAATAATCATAAGTGGAAATGAACATGGCTGATAAGCGTCAAATGAATGCAGAATAAAAGTATGTGTGTGTTTGTGCGTTAACATTTGATTACAAATATTTTTTTCAAAATATCTGTTTTTCATTTTTTTTTAAAAATCAGAACTTAAAGGCAATGGGAAATTATCCCCATAACGTCCAAATTTAACGAAGAAATTACATAAAAATACATAAAAATGTGTAAATTGTTGCATTATTAAGTATTATTAAATAAATACTTACTATTACTTATTGGATCAATTGTATGGATCATTAACTGGAGGGCACCATGTCGATATGTGTTTGCACTGCGTAGCACTGGTAATGTATGCTGCCGACGTAGTCGCCTTGTTCGCTGAAAACAAATAAACAACAGTTATTATTATCAAATTAATTTTAGGATTACCAAATTCGCTCTGCTATAAAGAGCGTTTATTTAATTAAAACAGTGCGCTTAAAATCAGTGTCAGTTTAGTTCACTCAAAATCAGACAAAAATAAATATTTTGGATTTTGAAGTTTTTAGAAAAAGTTTAATTTATTTTAATATTTGCTGTAGATATTAAAATTAGTTCATACATAATTCTGCTATGAGTCTTCACATGTGACGTAATGAAGTGCTCCACCGCGTGAAAATAATAATGGACATTTTAAAGGTATAGAGAACTGTTGAAAATACACCAATATGGCCGCCATATCTCGGCAACGTCATTTGAAATATTGATCATGCAAAGGGTCTATACATAGTAAAAACCCAAGATCGTTAAAATACCAATGCACCGATACATTGCTTTGTGTGAGGAATTCAATTTAGTTTGAATTATTAACGTCCTGCCATATTAGAATAAGTATGTTAATTGGAGATTTTGTGAAGGTGAGAAAAGTTGACTATGCCATTCAAAAGATTGATTCCAACTTTAATGGTATGCAGTATATTCAGGAAATACACTGGGTTTTGTTCACAACACAATAGATCTATGAAAGAAGAGAATATAAAAGTCACAGTCACAGGCAGGATACTGTAAAATGATTAATTTTCATTGGGTTTAAATTTCGCTGATTTAGCATTTCAGGCATATTTAGTGAGTTTTAAATTCACGGTTTTATCATTTAGATAATGTGTTCTATGCTAAATTTTACATATTTACAGGGTTTTTATTTTGGCGCATTTTCCAGTCAGCGAAATAAGCAAAACTAAAACCCAGTGAATAATTAACCCTTATACAGTATGTTTAAAACATTCTGTACATGGCATTAAACTCATATCAAGCATGACACGTATCACATTCTGACGCCATTACCGTATATTCCATTCATATCGGCTATTCATGTAGGCGATGAATTAAGTAGAATTTTTAGCTATCCCCCGGTACTTCGATTTGTCACTAAATTTTAAATAAGTGCATTCAAAAACAAAGTATACACTTCTAATAAAGCAAATACAACACTAAAATCATATAACATAATATTACCAATAGTCACATGACAATTCGGACCAAACTGAACATTTGTAATGCAGATTACGTGATGCAAGAATTTAATCCCAGTTTCCATGCGATTTAATGTATATGGTATGTACTAAATTTGAGCCATGAAGAACTTTGTACGGTTTTTGAGTTTTTTTATTTTATGGTTTTCCATGCAATGACAACTTTAATAGAGCTGAAATGATAGGATGTAGCTTCATTAGGAAAAAGACTATTTTTACTTTAGGAGGATTTCTCACATATGATTATTTGCTTAATATCTGAGATAGAATGAAGATGCAACTAACTATTCAAGAATGAACCTAAATCAACATGCAACTATATTGTTTCAAAGAATAAACTTTCATTTGACAATATTTTACCTTTATATGTAATAGAGGCTGAGAGATGTATGATTTCCATGGCAACAAGAAATGCAAATAAAACCAGTGAATTATAATAAAAAAAAAACTGACGTCTACATCTATAAATTGTACAAATGGTAAGTAGGCAGCCTAGCTGTCATGGCGACAGTTTTTTATCAACCATCTCTGCATTTGAGAGATAACCATCACTTGTTACAAATGAAGTTGAAGTGCTGTTGCTATGACAACCTAGATGACCTTATCCATGGAAGGGCATGATGACATTGAAATGTTAATTTCATAAATCAAAGAAAGCTTTGAACGTACTGGAAAAGCTAAAACAAGCAGCCTGACGGCTGAGATAGCTTCGCTTTTAGCTATGCACATTTCAATTAAGAACTGAAGACATCATTAGAAAATGAACAATATGTATAGTATCAAAGTAATCAGACTTGCGGTTTTTAACAAGAAGTCGAAAATATATTTTTTTTACCAAAAATTACAAAAATAATAATCAAAATTAGAGAATTAAAGATATCATCATGAAATGAACAAGTCTGGGAGAGATCCACATGTAGTACCTATATATGTAATATCAAAGCAATCTCACTTGCCGTTTTTTACAAGAAGTCGAAAATATCACTTTTTACCAAAAATGACAAAAATATTCATCAAAATTGAAGAATTGAAGATGTCATCACAAAATGAACAAATCTGCTAGAAGTCCATATGGAGTACCTATATATGTAATATCAAAGCAATCAGACATGCCGTTTTTTACTAGAAGTCGAAAGTATCACATTTTACCAAAAATGACAAAAATATTCACCAAAATTAGAGAATTAAAGATATCATGAAATGATCAAATCTGAGAGAGGTCGACATGCAGTACCTATATGCAATCGAACTTACTGTTTTTAACAAAAAGTCTAAAATATCACTTATTACAAAAAAATGACAAAAATATTCACCAAAATAGAGAATTCAAGATTTTGACATGAAATGAACAAATCTGAGAAAGAACCATCCAAGGTACTTGCATATCAAATTCGAAAACATTCTGACTTGCGGTTTCAAAGAAGAAGTTGAAATTGTAAAGTTGATGACGATGGACAATCAGTAATATAAACAGCTCCGCTGTGTTGACTTTGTCAACAGCGAAGCTAAAAATATATTAATTTTTGCAAATTAGGCACTGTAAAATACTTTATTTTAGCTGGAATTAATTTTTGCTGAAAAGACTTTTTTGGTGTTTTGTATGGAATTTATTTTCACTGTTTTTTGACAAGTTGAATGTAAAATATAGAAAAAGAGGTATATTCGCTGGATTTTATTTTCACTGAATCATTGCTGCAGCGAAAATAGCGAAAATTAATTCTAAGCAAAATAAAGTATTTTACAGTAATTTATATGCTTGAGGTATCAGTGGAAAAGCTGAATACTTGCTAACAATTACCATTATACAAATTAGGTACTTAGTATGCACAAATTTCAATTCAAAACTAACCAGGTCTGCACATCCAAGAGCATCAATATATCTGTTTAATAAAAATGACATAATTTGTTCTGAACATTTGTTAGTGGAACATACATACATACATACAGACAAGTAACCACAAAGGCTCCCATTGTGTACTTTACAACAAAATGGAAAAAAAAATAAAAAGCTGCGGGAAAGTACACTTTGAATTCATCATTTTTCTGACCAACTTTTTGCAAATTTTTATGTATATTTCTAACATTTTCTATTATACCTACACATCTTGTAATTGTTTTTGAAAAATTGCTCGGATTCTGTTTTTGTGCAAAAGTCAAAAATTTTATTTTGGAGTTTAAAGGAATAATGTAGAGAGGTTGGAGTTCTTAAAAACTGTTCCCTGTGCAACTCAACTTTGCTGCCGACAGAAAAAAACAACACATTTCGTGATTTTACAGCCATCCCAACTTGTCATAAAATTCTCTTTTTTTTTTTGTATTTCCACTCTTCCAAAGTAATAGATACCAGTACATCATTTTATTTTTCACTCCAAACTCACATTTGTTGCCTAGCAACAACATTCCACTGTGGTCAAAACATTTTCGTCAATGATCCTAGACAAGATAAAAATATTAAGTATTTTCAGACCAGCATATAAGATTATGGGTTAAAAGATAAATGTATAACCATGACAACTATATAAAATGATTCTGTTCATGTTTTGTATTTTTCTGAATCAAGTGTACTATTAATATTCAGTGTGTGCATATCTCACACTGACTTTATGGTGAATAAAAAATCCAGACTAAAACATGATTACCAACATTATTTGTTGTGGAATTACTATACAATTAATGGACTACTCAAAAAATTTAACAAAAATGAATCTGATTTGTTGCATTTTAATGTATTAAAATGTGTACTATTGGGTATATGCAAATAAGGTATAAAGTATATACTGATAACTATCTGATATGCAAATGAGGTACTTAATATGCACTGAAAGCTATATAGATTTCATTCAAATTTTTTCTGAGTCAAGACAGATATGGGAAATGCTACACTAGCAAGTTTTCCTTGTGTCAGGGAGGTTCTGGGTTCATAAAAACAGCAGTGACTTCAAATGTCTGTAATCGTTTGGCACAAAAATATAAAAAAAGCAAAAATCCCTTGAAACATCCTATTTTCTACAATAAATAATGTTTGCATGTCAAGACAGATGTCACGACACACACATCAGACACTGAACGATGAGTTCACAGAGCCTGTGGTTAAATTTTGTGCGATTCAAATACTATATATAACTATATGATGAATGATAACACAAGGCTACGATTTCTAGTAGTAGCCATAGCAACCACGAAAGACGATATTTTTGTTCGATGTCTTATGGCAGACATTAGCAAAATGTTACTGTAAGTTTATTCTCATAAACCACAATGAGAAACAAGCGATATTGTTTATTTATAAAGACAACGCTATCCGATGATGCAATCTTTCCTGTTAAACCATTGCACATCATAACTTTTTCTGCCTAATTATTGATTAATCATTTCTCACATGTGTATGCACCTAATTCTTTGTTAATTTCTGACCAAATGAACATTTACTATTTATTTATTTATTATTGCCTATAGGTCTTGATCAAAATGGTGCAAAAATAGGAAAAAATTTAATGTTATTTTTTTTGAGCCAATTACCAATTGAGTGAATAATGGAACAAATGAATGAACAAAAACATTATGTTCAGTTGAAGAAGCATTTCGAGTGCCAAGCTATTAACGCAGGAACCATAATGCTTTGTGATTCAAATTTCAGACGTGGAAGCTGTTGCAGCAGACTGTTGGATTTGTATTACAAGATATATAGATAAATCTAGTCAAATATTGATAGCCATGATTAAGAAATACAACTCCAAAAGGATTAAGAATTAGGATAATAATCCAGTACTGACAATCCGCCCACACGTACGTCACTGTTCGCCATCTGTTGAGTTTATCTATCTTTTAGGTACAGAAATATCAATTTTTCACAAAACTGAATATTGAATACCGGTTGTTACCAGTGTCTTGATGTTCATTACATGCATCGCCCTCTGTAAACCTCCTCTGATATGAATTGAAAAAAAAAAACGCCATCGGCAGGTAATTATGTTGAATTCAGCAAGAACACAATGTAATTGGCTTTTTATACATACATTAAATAGTATAATTAAAATTATTTAATAATTAAATTACACAGAGGTCTTATTTAGGGAATTATGGTCCATGCAATGCCCCCTATTACAACAATTACAGGGCAAGGACGGCAATGTCCACAAATAATGGTAGAAAGCCGCCTGCCTAACTCGTCTGCAATTGTGAACGAGACTCTTAATCCATCTTTTCCAACGAAGGTTTGTAATGTCTAGCTATCGTAAATTACTTTAGTTTCACTTAGAATTTATTTTCGCCATAGAGGGCATACTTTAACTTTAAATGTTCAAGTATGCCCTCTATGTAATATAAAAGGTTGAGGTGTTGTGATTTGTCCAAATGTTGCGTGTATATTTCTGAAACTGATTAATTCAATACATTCTGGATATTTCATATACCCAAATATGACATGACTAGCTACCAAAGCATTTGAAAAAAAAGTTTTGAGTGTAATTAAGTTGCAAGAAAATTGAGAATATAATTTGTGTTTAAATTTGTACGATTTGGGTTCTTGTATAAGTTTAATAAGTTGTTAATTATTAAGCAAATTGAATATGGAGATATAGATAAAAAAATCTTATAATATTCAGTTGTCTTGATTCCATCAGAATTGTATGAGTCTGAGTTCTGAGGATGTCAATGCAATGGACGAACATATATCATGATTTTTCAGCATCTGAAAAATTACATTTTATATGAACAGTAATATATATCTGATTGCTGCTTTCTGGATTTGCATTTTGTTTTAAAATTCCTATCCTTGCTGTTGTTTACAAATCATTGTGATCGTGAAACCTGACGGGAAACTTGCCAATTAAAGTAAAAGATATATTGCATTCAGTGGCACACATTATTAAAATCAGAGAAATGGTCAAATAATTAGGGCCCTGAATCTCTCACAATGTGAGGCTCAAACAGAAGGATCACTGTTTAAAGCAGCATGGTCGTCGATTCGTGTCACATGATGTGGGTCCCACATTAAACATTTACAACACACGTAAAATACATTATTTTCGTACATGCACGATAACTGATTTTTTTAACATTTAATTGACTACAAGAGCGGTAAATACTGATGGGAAATCTGCAGTGCAGTCACGTTACAATAAAACGTGGAACATGCTGTCTTTTCCACTGTCTACAAGAGAGTATAGTGGCTAGTAATTGTCATGTTTATACACATTAAGCATTCTCCACAGGTAGGTATCTTGAGATATTCATTAAAGTTTGAAAATGCTGTCTGGCATGCCGCGTTCAATCCACCCGAGTTGAAAGTAATTTTTGCCATTGCTGGCTGTTAACCCTATAAAAACCAACGTGAACTGTTGTCACATGCTTCAAAAAACTAACAAAACAATTACAAAAATACATAATTATTGCAAAATGAATTTGAAGTCGCATGAATTGCAAGATGATCATAAAATCGTAATTTAATAAGATAAATGTACATTTCTAGAAATGCAAATGAGTCTGACAGAAATGGCTGAAGTGTCCTTATATGTATGTAGGTTCCTCTGTCCATGGCATGATATTAGTCTATTGGTCAGAACAAATTCAATTTATGCAGAAAGGGACGTTCATCGCATACATGTACCTTATTTTATAATCCTCATTCAGCACTATAGAATCTAAATAATAATATTCAAAATAATTCAGCTGCCCCACCCACCGAAACTCTTTAACTTTTTGGTCTTTTAAATGTCATAGTCAACTTTTGTGACTTTTTTTTTTTCAAATATTTTGATCAAGACCGAGAAATAATATTTACTTGGTTCAAAATTAGACAGAAAATTATGGAAAAAAATACAAAAATGTACAAAATGTTGGACCTAAGTTTTGGCGGGAAAAATGATGGCGTCCAAACAGTTGAATTGAATGTATATACTGACACAGCAGATGTGATTGTTCTGCTTGGCTGTGCACAAGATTACAATGACTATACTGGAAAATTCATTCGAGGGTATAAAAACGCTATATATTCGGTTTAAACTAACTAATTGACGAATATGTTGATTTAAAGTTTATTACGTCTGACACCGAAAACAATAGAAATTCTCACTCCATCAAAATTCGTATTTGTATTCATTTGAGCTTTCCAACATTTGAAATTACCCTTATTTGGGGTAAACCACGTCACTAACATTGCCGTATTATTTTTCGTTCACGTTCAAACACTTTCCTTTGTTGACACCGTACACAGCAGTATAGTGCGTGATGGAAATTATAATACATTATCACTGAATGCAAATGATCGCAAAGGTTAACATTAATCTGTCACCAAATTAGGAGCAGAGAAAGACAATAATAATAATAAATTTATTGCATCTTTAGAAATAACAAAGAAACAAGCCATGCATGGCACAGTCCTCGTTAGTTATCAAATTTAAGATATATAGTTTGTTTATAGTAATATAGCTGGAATATAATCATGGCAGGAATATGATTTTTTAACATTAAAATGATTGACATTTGTATCTGATCGTCAAACAAGTACTTGTCCATATTGAGAGATATTGCTCTGGAACAGCATTCAAAATCAGCCATTTTGAATACATGTATATATATAACATGATGTATAACGAATATATAAAATTTAAATATAATAAGTCAAAGCATTTAAGAGATATGGCTCTAGAAGCCCAATCATTAAAACAAAATGGCCGCCAGTCAGCCATTTTGAATCCAATCTGAAAAATAAAAAGTTTGAATGAAATCCACCCATAAATGCTTGATATTTGATGATTTTTTAGCACAAAAATGATCACCATTCGGCCATTTTGAATAGGATAGTCGAACCAATATATTTGAACATAATCAGTGAAAGCAAGTCAGAGATATGGCACGAGAACAATTCATTAATAAAAAATGGCTGCCAGTCGGCCATTT